GAGAGCCGCCCCGGCTCCGGGCGCCCCGCGTGGAGCTGGACGTGGCGGCCCCCAAGGTGCATGTGGGGCTGAGCCTGCCCGGCACGATGCTCCCGGCAGCGCCGGCCTCGCCGGAGCCCCTGCCGCACGCGCCGGCGCTGGAGATCGCGGTGCCGGCGCCTGCGGTGGAGCTGCAGCTCCCAGCGCCCCGGCACCCCGTGGAGCCCCGCGATGCCACCAAGGGCCCCAAAATCCCGTTGGCCAAAGCCGGGGACAAGGCAGCGCTGGCCAAGCTGCCTGCGGTGAAGGTGCCATCCATCGACATCGCAGTGCCCAGCGCCGCTGTGGAGCTGCTGCCCGCGGCGCCGGAGCCGCCGGCGCCAGAGCCGCCTGGAAAATTTGCCTTTCCCAAAGTGGACCTCAGCGTGCCGAGGTCCATGGGAACTCCATGGGAAGCGGAGGGGGCGCCGGCGCATGTGAGCTTCCCGACCGTGCCGGCACTGGACATCGCGGTGCCACCGGTGTCTGTGGCGCTGGAGCTGCCGGTGGCCCGGGAAGCGGGGGCTGAAGGTCCCGGTAGGGAGCAGGCACCGGAGCCGGCGGTGCTGGAGAGGAGCCTGAGGAAGCTCAGCCTGGAGCCGGAGCTGGAAGGCTCCGCTGGGAAGGCCAAGGTGCCCAAATTCACTCTGCCGCGGCTGATGCCCAAAGGGAAGCTGCGGATGCCGCCGGCAGCAGCCGGGATGAAGCTGCCGCAGGTGGAGCTGCCGGGGATGGGAGCGGGCGGGGAGCCGGGCGACACCAGGGCCCCGCGGGTGCCGTCGGGCAGCGCGGCGCTGCCGGCGCTGGAGCTGGATGTGGGGCTGCCGCAGAGCCCCGGGAACGCCGAGCCCCGGCGGCGCAGCGGCTCCGCCGGGCCGGCCCCGGGCAGCCCCCGGCGGCGGCTGCCGCGGCTGCGCATGGTGCTGCCCGCGCTCCGGCGCTCCGACCCCGAGCTGCTGCCGGCCGCGTCCGGAGGCGCCTCCCGCGCATCCCGCCCGGGGCTGCCCAAGGGCAAGGAGCCGGAGCGGCTGCCGGGATGGAGCCGCGTGCGGCTGCCGCGGTTCGGAGGCTCCAGCCCCGACGTCCGCGGCGCCGCCGGAGCGAGTGCCAGCGGGCGGGCGCCTTCGCTTCCCGACGGCCTCGCTGCGGAGCCCACGGAGCAGCCGGAGGGCAAATTCCGTCTGAAGGTGCCAGGGCTGGGAAAAGCGGGAGCTGCCGGTGCCGGAGCCAGGGGCGGCAGCGGGGCAGCCGCGTTCCCCTGTGGCCTGCCCCACATCCCAGACGTTGGCTTCTCTGCCAATGGGGAATGGGAAGTGGGAAGCGCTGGGATGCAGGTGCCCAAGTCGCGCCCGCCAGCGGAGCCGGACGGGAAGCGGCCAGCGCTGAAGGTGCCAGAGCTGGAGCTGGCGGTGCCCAGAGAGGGCACCGGAATTCTGGAGAGCCCTGGGAAGCGGAGCCGCGTGAAGCTGCCGCGTTTCGGCATCATCCGGGCCCGCGCTGTCCCCGAGGGCGCCGACGAGGCGAGGATGAGGATGGGTGGCGTGAGGAAGGCCGTGCTGGAGCTGGTGCGTCCCAAGGGCTGCGGGGTCGAGGAGCCGCTGCGGGACGATGCCCCCGGGAAGGGGCACCGAGAGCATCGGTGGCACCTGCCCCGGCTGGAGCTGGCGGCTCCCGCTCGCTCCGTGGTGCCCAGCGTCTCCGGCACGGCCGCCTAACGTGGGCGCTGAGGCCGCTGGCGCTCGCTGCACGTGTGGCCAGCGCCGGCCTCGGCCGCGTGCTCCGCGGAGGCGGGAAGAGCGCGGCGCTCCGGGCTGTGCGGCATTCCTGGGATGCGGGGCCTCTCCGTGCATGCGGCGCCACTGCTTTAACCCCTCTCCCCAGCTTAACTCCCCACGTCCCGCACGCCAATTCCTGCTTTTTTTTTTCCTGAACATCGGGAGCCAGCAAATAACAGGCCACGGTGCCGTCGCTCCTGGTGCCACAGGAGGGGATGCAGATCCGTGGTGCCACTGCTCCTTGGGTGGTTTTGGAGGAGAATCCCAGGGTTTCCATGCACGCGGGAATTTCGGGCTCCCGAACTCTCCCATCCCAGGAAGATGTTCCAAGGTGGTTGCCCCCCATTTCCATTTCCCAGCTAAATGCCATTAATCCCGGTGTTTCCCGCCGGGGCCTTGTCCATGTCCTTATCCCTTGTTCTCTATCCCTTTGGAATAAACATTAACCTGAGCACGGCCCTGGTGTCATCCGTGGCTTGAGAGCGAGCGCATCCAGGGATGCCGGAGCACCCTGGGAACAGCCCGGAGACGGGAAGAAAAGGCGGGAGACGGATCCCGCTCCTCTCCTGCCGGATGCCTTTGGATCCATCGCTCCGCGGCGCCTGGACGCCGGGGCCCTGGCGATGCCGGAACCGGGCGCTTGTTGGGTCACCGGGCAGTTCCGAGGTGGTGCCGACGGCGCTGGCGGTACCGTGCACGGGCGCCCTTTGCCGGCAGCGGGAGCCAGCTCCTGTTTTGGGAAGGGAGGGACCTGCTGGCACCGGCCATGGTGACACTGGAGTCGGGCACCGAGTGCTATGACGTGGTGGACACCCTGGGCAAAGGCACCTTCGGGGAGGTGGCCAAGAGCTGGCGGAGGAGCACGGGGGAGATGGTGGCCATCAAGATCCTGAAGGACGACGGGCACCGCAGCCGCATCGTGCGCAACGAGCTGAAGCTGCTGCGGGCCATGGGCGCGCTGGACGCCGACGCGGCGCACATCGTGCGCTTCCTCGAGGCCTTCCACGACGGCGCCAAGTGCTACCTGGTCTTCGAGCTGCTCGAGCAGAACCTCTTCGACTTCCAGAAGGAGAACGACTTCTCGCCGCTGCCCGTGCGCCACATCCGCACCATCGCGGCGCAGGTGCTCACGGCGCTCGCCAAGCTCAAGGAGCTCTCCATCATCCACGCCGACCTCAAGCCGGAGAACATCATGCTGGTGGACCACGCGCGCCACCCGTTCCGCGTGAAGCTCATCGACTTCGGCTCGGCGAGCATCCTCAGCGAGGTGCGCTACATCCAGGAGCCCTACATCCAGTCGCGCTTCTACCGCGCGCCCGAGATCCTCCTGGGGCTGCCCTTCTGCGAGAAGGTGGACGTGTGGTCGCTGGGCTGCGTCCTGGCCGAGCTGCACCTGGGCTGGCCGCTCTACCCGGGCGGCAGCGAGTACGACCAGGTGCGCTACATCTGCGAGACGCAGGGGCTGCCGCGCGGCGCGCTGCTGCAGGCCGCCCGCAAGGCGCACCGCTTCTTCCGCCGCCCGCCCGCGCCCGACGCCGGCGCCTGGCAGCTCAAGACGCCCGCCGAGCACCTGGCCGAGAGCCGCGAGAAGCCGCTGGAGCGCCGCAAGTACGTGCTCCGCTCCCTGGACCAGATGGAGACGGTGGGCGGCGGCGGCGGCGCCGACCGCGAGGGGCTCGCCGAGCGCGGCGACCTGCACGCCATGGTGGAGCTCATCAAGCGCATGCTGGCGTGGGACTCGCGCGAGCGCATCGCGCCCGCCGCCGCGCTGCGGCACCCCTTCGTGTCCCTGCAGCAGCTGCGCGGCGCCCACCGGCCCACCCGCTACTACCAGCTCTGCCGGCAGGCGCTGCGGGCCGCCCGGCACGGCGCCGCCGATGACGACGATGCCCACGAGGAGGAAGGGGCGGCGGAGGCGGCGCGCTGCGGCGTGCAGCGCGCCATCGCCCAGCTCGACCACCTCAGCCTGGCCGAGGTGGCGCTGGGCGAGGAGCTGGCCGTGCCGGCGGCGCCCGCGCCCATCCCGGCCCACTACGGCGGCTGGCACCGGCACCGGCGGCACCCGCGGCGCCCCAAGCCCGACGCCATCCTGGGCAACCTCATCGTGCTGGGGCCGCGCTCACCGCATGGAGCAAGCGGCAGTGGCACCGAGGAGCAGAGCCCACCTGGGAGGCCCCCACCATCACCCCACACCAAGGTACTGGGTGCTGGAGCCCTTGGGTGCTCCAGGTTTCCATATGCTCCTGGTCCCTGGCTGCTCCTGGTCTCCACCCCTTCCTGGTCCCTTAGGTGCTCCAGTTTCCTTGGTGCTCCAGGTCCCTGGCTGCTCCTGGTCCCCATGCCCTCCTGGTCCCTTAGGTGCTCCAGTTTCCTTGGTGCTCCAGGTCCCTGGCTGCTCCTGGTCCCCATGCCCTCCTGGTCCCTTAGGTGCTCCAGTTTCCTTGGTSCTCCAGGTCCCTGGGTGCTCCTGGTCCCTGGAAACTCCTGGTGTTTTGGTGCTCCCAGTCCCTTGGATACTCCGGGTCCCCGCATGCTCCGGTTTCCTGGGTGCTCCATGTCCCTCATGTGCTCTGGCCCCCTCAGGTGCTCCCCATTACTGCTGCTCTCCATCCCAAGGGTGCTTTGGCTCCCTTGAGCGCTCCATGTCCCGCAGTGCTCCCGGTCACCGGTGCTCCGGGTCCCCTGGGTGCTGCGTGTCCCCAGGCGCTCCGGGTCACCCTTCCCTGCTCTTCTCGCCCACAGAGAGCCCTGGCCGAGTGGCGCGTGCCCGAGGCGGGCGCCTGGCCGGGCTCGGAGCACCCCGCCGGGCCCCCGCCGGGCCGGCACCCCCGCTACGCGCAGCACGTGGCCGGCCAGCGCTGAGGCACCGCGCGGAGCCCTCCGGCGAGCGCCGCGGGACGGAGCCCGCGCCGGCCTCCCTGCCTCCACCACCCTCCTCTTCCTCGGCTGCGCAGCCCCGGGCCGGAGAAGCCGTGCGGCGCCGGGGGGCACAACGTGGGCGCACGGGCCGCGTGTGCCCAACGGCGCCGGGCACTGGCATTTTGTGCTGCTCTGCACACCCCAATAAACCATTTGCCCCCGGCGCAGCGTGCCGTGCCTCCTTGCTGGCTGGGAAGAGGGAGCGCGCGGGAGCTGGGACGGGCTCGTGGTGCGCATGGGTGCTGCAAGCTCGCAAAGCCCTCCATTTAATTTTAACCAAACGGTGACGTGTGGCACTGTCCAAGAGAAGGCACCAGCGCCGCGCTGCTGGCATCGCACCGCGAAGCTCAAGCCGGCGGCTGCTCTTAAATCCTTCCCTGCTGCTCTTAAATCCTTCCCTGCAGAACCGGAGGGGTAAACCGGCGCGCTGCTCACTCCGAACTCGCTTCCCTGACGGAGGAAAAGCCGCTTGCGGAGCACCCGGCACCCCCGGAGCCTAGTGGGAGCCGCAGAGGCGCTGCCAGCGCTGCACGTCGCCCACGTCGGCGCTGTACGGCGAGCTCCAGTCGCGCTCAAACACGGCCTGCAGCTGCGCGCGCACCGAGGCCGCGCCAACGCCGCCCGTCTCGTTGACCACGAGCGCCGAGCCCGCCGTGCGGGTGAAATAATCCCCGGACCAGTTGGAGGTCCCTGCGGGGAGAAGCGGGTTGTTATTTAGGGCGAGGAGGCCGCAGGCTGCGTTCTGGGCATTGCATGCTGCGTTGCACGCCCAGCGGTGCTCACCAATATAAGCCACCGTCTCGGTGACCATGTACTTGTTGTGGTTCACGCGGGCGTAGGGGATCTTGGCTTGCGCTGTGCTGGCTGGCACCGTGAAGAGCCTCTGCGGGACGGAAAGGGCTCGTCGGCCGTGGGAACAACCTGCGCCGACGTCACCACGCCGGCGCGGCACCTACCACGTGCATGCTGTAGCGCGTGCCGTTGTCGGACACGGCGGCCAGGGACCGGAGGAAGGGGAACATCTCGGCCTTGCTGTGGCGCCAGCAGCCCACGAGCAGCCGGACACGCACGTGGCGCTCGTAGACGGCCTTGCGGAGGTGGTCATCGATCAGCGGCCAGAACCTGCGCGGGGAGCGGGCGGGGACGGGTCAGGGTCAGGGTCAACATTACCATCAGGATCATGGTCGGGGTTCGAGTTTAGTGCTAGTGTTAGGGTTCAGGGTTAGTGTTAGGGATGGCTTTAGGGTTAGGGTCATGTTCCTGGTCAGGATTGATCAGGGTTAGCATTAGGGATAGTTTCAGGGTTAGGGGTCAGGGTCAACATTACCATCAGGATCATGGTCGGGGTTCGAGTTTAGGGCTAGTGTTAGGGTTCACGGTTAGTGTTAGGGATGGCTTTAGGGTTAGGGACATGTTCCTGGTCAGGATTGATCAGGGTTAGCATCAGGGTTAGGATTAGGGATAGTTTTAGGGTTAGGGACAGGGTTAGGATTAAGGTTAGGCACAGGGTTAGGTTTAGGATTAGGGACAGGTTTAGGATTGGAGTTAGGGTTTAGGGCTAGGGTTTAGGATTAAGGTTTGGGACACATTCAGGGTCAGGGTTAGGCTTTCGGATTAGGGTTATTAATGAGGTTAGGGTCATGTTCTTGGTCAATTTTAAGGTCAGTGCCCGGGTCAAGCTCAGCATCAGGAGGGGAGGGTCCAGTGCTTAGTGTTTGGGCCAGGATGAGGGCCAAGGTCCCGCTCAGCTCCGGACTCACAGTGGCGGTGTCGGGACGCGGTGAGCGCGGCCGTACCTGCGGGGGTGTGAGAACTCCATGGTGGGCAGGTAGCTCATGACGGCGACGTACACGAACTCGCGGGCCGCGTCGATGACGCCGAGCAGCGCACGCAGGTCCTCGGTGCGCCCCGGGGCGCAGAGAGCCGGCGGGGCGCTCTGCGGGTCCAAACAGAGCTCGGGCATCGGGGGCCAGCATCCCGGCTCCATGGGCAACCCCGAGATGCTGGGAGCACACTCACCGAGAAGAAGACACCAGCCAGTGTCCCGTTGAGCTGCAGCTCGAGGGGCCTTTCCATGTTGAAAGCGGTGGAGTAGTTGGCTGGCCATGGCACCGGCACGGTGGCATCGGGAACACCCAGGGCCCAGTAGGCTTCAAAGACCTTGGCCAAGTCTTGGGCCAGGCAGCTGCAGTTGTAGACGGCCGTGCCGAGCTCCTTGACCTGTGCGAAGCAGCCCCGTCACGGAGCATCCAGGGCCGGATGCTCCAGCGGCCGGAGCATCCAGGGCCGGTCCTCGGGCACCGCAAGGCTTACCTGCGTCAACGAGCGCCAGTCCATGTTGGCACTGCCGATGTAGAGGTGGGCGCCGTCCACGAGCCACAGCTTGGTGTGCAGCACCCCGCCGGTGAGCCGCGGCATGTCGACCGCCCGCACCGCGGCCCCTGCAGCGCCCGCGGCGCACCGGTGTCACCCGCCTTGCACCCCTTGGCTTTTGGGGGGTACCCCTGCGCCCTGCCAGCGTCCGTGCCAGCACTCACCGCTCTGCTGCAGCGCCTGGAGATCGTGCAAAGGTGTCTTGGTGGACGGGGTGTTGACGGCGACGCGCACGGAGACGCCGCGCGCTGGCAGCGCCAGCAGCTCCTGCAGGATCTGCTCACCCTGGTGGCAAGAAAACACGAAAGGGGAAGCGGTTGAAAACGCCAGGGACGGGAGCAAACAGCGCCGGTCGCTTGAGACGGGCAGGCACGTGGCGCCGGGGCTGGCACGAGCCTTCGGCCTCGCCCAGGGCTGTTTGCAAGCACGAGCGTGTTGCCGGTTGTGCCGGCCAGGCAAGCTGGTGGCATGCAGACGGATGTGTCAGCAGCTGCGCTGGGCTGACCAAGCCCTGTCCTGGGGCTGCGTGTGGCCGAGGGGACGCGCGCGGCGGCCGTACCGCGGCGGCCGAGGGCTCCTGCGTGTGCGTGTCCTCGTTGGTGAGGGTCCAGTAGAAGGCGGCGATGTCCAGGCTGTGCGTGGCGCTGCTCAGGAGGCTCCTCCACGTGTCGAAGGTGGAGGGGTTCGTGGGGCCGCTGCCGCCGTACGGCATGCCCTCGGGGATGCTCTCCACGAGCACGATCCTACACGGGCGATAGAGCGACTGCTTGACGCAACGATAGCTCGGTGGAGCGGCAGCTTGATGCAATGGCAGCGCGTTGCAGCGACAGCTCGATGCAACGATAGCTCGATGCAAGGTAGATCGTTGCAACGGCAGCCTGATGTAACGGCAGCTCGTTGCAGCAACTGTTCGATGCAACGATAGCTCGATGCAAGATAGATCGTTGCAACGGCAGCTTGATGCAATGGCAGCGCGTTGCAACGGCAGCTTGTTGCAAGACAGTTCGATGCAACGGCAGCTCGTTGCAACGACAGTTCGATGCAAGACAGATCGCTGCAACAGCAGCTTGATGCAATGACAACTCATTGCAGCAATAACTCAACGCGACGACGTCTCGACGCAACGAGCACTAAATGCAACGGCAGCTCGCTGCAACGGCAGCTCCTTGCAACGCCGCGCGCCGCAGCAGCGGCTCGGTGCGAGCGCAGCTCGGTGCGCACGGCCTCAGCTCACCGGCACGCGGCGCTGCAGGTGCCACCAGCGTCCCCAGCGTCGCGTCCCGGCGCCGCCGAGCCTGAACGGGCGTTGAAGAGGTGGAGGAAGAGCAGGCAGGAGAGGAGGGTGATGATGGCGGCAGCCAGCACGGCACAGCGGGAGCACTGGGCGGAATGGGATCAAAAATCACCTTTCCTGCCTTAAACCAGCTGCCCACAGGCCAAGCCCCGCCGGGAACACCCCTGAGGAGGAGGAAGGACGAGGATATTCCGAGCCCAGCAGGGTCGTTGCACCGCGATTGCCACGAGCCTCGTTTACCTTCTGTGCCGAGCGGCCAAGCTGCGGCGCGGGAGGCTCCTCCGGCTTCTCCAGCTGCGGAAGGGACGGAGAGAGTTGGGAAGGGGCTCCCGGATCCCCCACGTTCCTCCTGGGAAGGGGCTCCCGGATCCCCCACGTTCCTGCCAGGAAGGGGCTCCCGGATCCCACATGTTCCTCCCGGTAAGGGGAAGGGGCTCCCGGATCCCCCACGTTCCTCCCGGTAAGGGGAAGGGGCTCCCGGATCCCCCACGTTCCTCCTGGGAAGGGGCTCCCGGATCCCCCACGTTCCTCCCAGGCAGGGGCTCCCGGATCCCACATGTTCCCCCCGGTAAGGGGAAGGGGCTCCCGGATCCCCCACGTTCCTGCCGGGAAGGGGCTCCCGGATCCCCCACGTTCCTCCCGGCAAGGGGAAGGGGCTCCCGGATCCCCCCCCATTCCTCTCGGGAAGGGGAAGGGGCTCCCGGATCCCCCACGTTCCTGCCGGGAAGGGGCTCCCAGATCCCCCATGTTCCTGCCGGGAAGGGGCTCCCAGATCCCCCCCATTCCTCTCGGGAAGGGGAAGGGGCTCCCGGATCCCCCCCATTCCTCTCGGGAAGGGGAAGGGGTTCCCGGATCCCCCATGTTCCTGCCAGGAAGAGGAAGGGGCTCCCAGATCCCCCCCATTCCTCTCGGGAAGGGGCTCCCGGATCCCCCACGTTCCTCCCGGGCAGGTTTTGCCCCAAGTTTCCCAGTCCCGCGGGAATTGTACCTGCTCGTAGACCACGTAGGGCTTCATGGGTGCCGGAGCAGGGATCGGGAAGCGAGAACCGGAGCTGCCGGCTCGTGCCGTCCGCGCTCGCTCCGGGCTCTTGCCCAAGCGCCTGACTCAGCGAGGGGAAGTTTCCCCGTCCGCATCGGAGCGGGATGGGGGGCGGGAGGCCGCGGGAGCGGGATGGGAGCCGGGAGGCCGCGGCTCCGGCGCTCCGGATCCTCGCGGGATACGCCAGCGTCCCGGGGAGGAGGCTCCGCTGGCGGCCTCTCCTCCCGGAGGTGGAGCCGGGCGCTGTGACGGAGGGAGAAGGGGATGGAGGGACACGGGGATGGGGACGGCGGGACACGGGAATGGGGAGGAGGGACAAGGGGATGGGGATGGAGGGGACGTGGGGATGGGGACGGAGGGGATGCGGATGGAGGGAGAAGGGGATGGGGACGGAGGGACATGGGGATGGGGATGGAGGGACGTGGGGATGGGGATGGAGGGGACAGGGACGGAAGGGACACGGGAATGGGGATGGAGGGGATGTGGGGATGGGGATGGAGGGAGAAGGGGATGCGGATGGAGGGACATGGGGATAGGGATGGAGGGGACGTGGGGATGGGGGTGGAGGGATATGGGGATGGAGGGACACAGGAATGGGAATAGAGGGACATGGGGATGGGGATGGAGGGGAAATGGGGATGGGGATGGATGGACGTGGGGATGGGGATGGAGAGGACAGGGACGGAAGGGACGCGGGGATGGAAACAGAGGGACAAGGGGATGGGGATGGAGGGGACGTGGGGATGGAGGGATACGGGAATGGGAGTAGAGGGACAAGGGGACGGAGGGACGGAGAGATGGGAATGGAGGGGACACGGGAATGGAGGGGACACGGGGATGGGGACGGAGGGATGCGGGGATGGCGGCGGCAGCGGCATGGCGGAGCGGGGGGTCCTCCCGCAGCCCCCAGGCCTGCGGGCAGCCCAAATCTAGTCCTTCCTCTGCACCGTGTTTAGGCCAGGGCCGTGTTTAGGCTCAGGATTATGCTTAGGGCCAGGTTTACGTTTGGGACCACGTTGAAGGTCAGGATTCGTTCAGGGACATGTTTAGGGGCAGAATAGTATCTAAGAGCATGTTTAGGGTCAGGACCATGTTTAGGACCATGGTTTGGGTCAGGATTATGTTTAGGACCGTGGTTTGGGTCAGGATTACATTTAGGACCATGTTTAGGACCATGTTTTGGGTCAGGACCATGTTTAGGACCATGGTTTGGGTCAGGATTACATTTAGGACCATGTTTAGGGCCATGCTTTGGGTCAGGACCATGTTTAGGACCATGTTTAGGGTCAGGATTACGTTTAGGACCATGTTTAGGACCATGTTTAGGGTCAGGACCATGTTTAGGACCATAGTTTGGGTCAGGATTATGTTTAGGACCACGTTTTGGGTCAGGACCATGTTTAGGACCATGTTTAGGGTCAGGATTACATTTAGGACCATGTTTAGGACCATGTTTAGGGTCAGGACCATGTTTAGGACCATGGTTTGGGTCAGGATTATGTTTAGGACCGTGGTTTGGGTCAGGATTACGT